AGTAAGGTTGCGGTGCTGCCACCGACCTTTGATTCCAAAGATGCAAGCTTCAATTGCCGTTTGTCTCGCTTGGTCTTAAGGGGAAGCTTGGTTTAGACTCTGCGTATACTTCAAGCAGCAAGCAACGCGAAAGTGAGCAAAAGAAGCGCATCTATGAAAACAAGCAACTTAGTTGATGGGGGGGATTGTCAACTCTGCCCCAAAGTCAACTTTCCCATGTGGGTGCGCCTTTTTGTTTAGTGGGGCCCCCCAATTTCGGTTTCCCTTTGAACCCACTTCAACCAGAGACCCACAACCTCTCGCGGACGCCATTGGTCGCGTCACTTCCCTCAGGGCGGATGGGGTCGCCGCCACGAGCTGCGCCGGCGCCGGGAGACCCGAAGATCGAAGATACTCGAAGCTCTGAGTTTCATACTTCAAAATGACTTCAACATGAGGTTTTTTTTGTTTGCAGACACAGTGAATACTTCGAGTCTAGGGAAAACGTGCATTTGCAGACCCAGTGGAAAACCCAAACTGCACAATCGTTCACCTTTGGCATTTGGGATGCCAGCTATGACACTACAGAACAACTGCATCTGAAACATTCGTGTCCAGGATCATGTTTCTGCTGGACTCATGCCATCCCGTGGCTGACTGGAGCAGCTGACTGGAGCATTGTTTGGGGGCCCTTTGGTTTAGGTGTGCAGATAGGTTCTCGGCCCTCAACTTCGGGTCTTCCAAAAGTGAACCAAGCCCATGAGGTTTGGGAGCCCTCCCCGGACCACTTCTGCCACCAGCTGGCCCGAGGCGCAGGGAACTGGCTTCGGTTTCCGGTGGCAATGTGGCACCCTCAAAAGGACGGGCTGTTCCCTTGGTGTTCCAGCTTGAAAACCCCCGACTACTAAGGCATGCCCAAACTGTTGGGAATTCAGTGTTGACCACGCTGGCAGGTCGAAGGAATGGGGTGCGGTGGTTTGGGGTGGAGTGAGACGTTCTGCATGGTATGGTGGGCAGGCTGGCCGTGTGTGGAATTCACTAGATGGGACTCAGGTTTGACGGATGTTGCAGGGGGGATCGCTTGGGGCTTTTCTCTTTTGGGTTTTGTTTGGGCTGACTTGAGGGGCGGTGGAAGCATGTCAGTTGCAAGCAACTGGAGTGACTTGCGCCTCTCGCTCACCCAGGTGAGTTTCCTTGCTGCGGATAGTTGTTTTCCAGACATACAAGAAAGTCTGTTTCGTGCCGCACGCAAGGAGTCAAATTTCGCTCGGTGCCTTTTTGCAAATTAGCACTTCCTGCTGAAGTCCAACCTTGAGTGATTCTGGAAAGGGCCTTGACCTCCTGCGTGTTGGGTACTTGGCTACTAGTGCTTTGGTGCTTGGTTGCTTGGTTGCTTGCTTGCTTGCTTGCTTGGTTGCTTGGTTGCTTGGCTGCTTGGTTGCTTGGTTGGTTGGTTGGTTGGTTGGTTGGTTGGTTGATTGGTTGGTTGGTTGGTTGGTTGGTTGGTTGGTTGGTTGGTTGGTTGGTTGGTCAATTGGTTGGTTGGTTAATTGGTTGGTTGGTGAATTGGTTGTTTGGTTGTTTGCTTGCTCGCTCGCTTGCTTGCTTGGTTGGTTGCTTGGTTGCTTGGTTGCTTGGTTGCTTGGTTGCTTGATTGCTTGGTTGCTTGGTTGCTTGGTTGCTTGGTTGCTTGGTTGGTTGCTTGGTTGGTTGCTTGGTTGCTTGGTTGCTTGGTTGCTTGGTTGCTTGGTTGCTTGGTTGCTTGGTTGCTTGGTGGGTGGGTGGGTTGGTTGGTTGGTTGGTGGGTTGGTTGGTTGGTTGGTTGGTTGGTTGCTTGGTTGGTGGGTGGGTTGGTTGGTTGGTTGGTTGGCGTTGGTCAGGTTCTTCACTGTTCTGCCCCAGTGACAGGGTAGGCGCGGCAGCTACAGAAGTGGCTCTTCCAAGGAACCTGTCTATACGAAAGCCACGAGCCCCAGTCTGTGTGTGTGGGCGTGCGCGCGCGCGTTTCCTTTTGGCTTAGTCCAAACTGTTGTCAAGGCAAACCACAAAGAAGCGGCTGCCTGTGGCATCCATTCCAACTTGTTGGACAAACCGAATCAACCCATGAGTGTACGTGACAATGATCATGGGGTTCAGGTTGGTTCACCTCAAAAACAGATTCCCAAAACTTGTGGACCAACAGAAGAAGGGAGAATGGCCATGTTCTCCCCTTTGCCGTGCCCTCTTCTCTCTTTTTTTTGTGAGCGCTCCATCTCCCACTTGTTGAGAATTTTTCCTTCGGTTCTTCCCAACGATATGGCTGTGGGTCAAAACCAATGGTACCATGTTGGGGTAGGTGAATTCACCACCCATTTTAGAACCCATTTTAGTCTGTGGGGATTGGAATGTTCACTGGGGGCTAACAATTTGGATTTTGACCCATGGCCATATACCACCGGCCATGGCCCATCTCCCACTTGTTGAGATTGTTCCTAGCATGTTTTTTTCCACCAGCCATGGCGGGCGCACAGCTTCCGAGTTTGAGAGACGAGAGCGGCCCACTCCTCCGGCAGGCGGAGCCGTTGCGTACCACTCCGACGGCATGCCGCGGACCGTGGTGCTCGGAGTGGGCCTGATGAAGGCGAGACGGAGTCTCGCCAAGACCTAATATCTGGTGGGAAATCCAGGGGAACTCGGGGTAAATCTATGGAAACGTAATATACGTATATGTATATATATATATATGATTAATCTATATATGTATATGTATACACGTTTTTGTTGTGAGAATTGCAGGGCACCTTTTTTGTTCTCGGCCGGCGTTGGCAAAGCAAAGGGAGACGGAAAAGACATAGATGTCACATATCGCAAAGCTAGCTTGCCGATCGGGGGCAAAGCTTTCTTGGGCCCGGTGAGAAAGGTTCCTTTCTTGTTGGCCTTAATGTACCCCAAGGCGCTGCTTGGTTGCTTTTGACGTACTGCATTTGCGAGTTCCCATGTTTGGCCTGCATCCGTGTTTGCCACGTTTGAGCGGATTTCTATTCAGCATTCTGCCACCTATCCCACCCGATGGCAACCACACACGTCCTGGACCTTCCCACCGTCGCTGACATTCCTGCCTTTCTGATGCACACATCAGGATTCAGATGTGTTGCTTCATGCGACTCGCGAGCGCCTATTGGCAAATTGTGACTGGAGATTCAGCCTGCTTGGTGTTCGTCCGAAACGAGCTCAGACAAAGCGCACCACAGGCCAAATTGCGCAAACTGCAAACCAGCGCTGGGAATCTGTTGTTTCAATAATGCATTTTGCACTCAGAACGCGAACGCTTTTCTCCGAAGCGCGCAGAAATCTTGCAATGTAATGTCCGGAGCACACCAAACATCGTAACACACACTATTAGTGTAGCAATTGATGGTCCAGAAAGGCTATATTTGAGATCAATTCAAGGAGGCCCCTGAACATTCACATGTGACCCCAGCAGACCCTTATCAAAGTACACGAATCTCCTCGTGGGTACCGTTTTCCGGATTCCGACGCTGAGGTAAATTGTCCTCCATTCCCAGCTTAATGGGAAACAGGTCGGTTGGACTTTGACCGATATTCCACTCCCAAAGCTCAGAGTGGACTCTCCGTGTGCCCCTCTCCTTCCTTTTGAGCTCGGAGGTGACACTGGCGACCCACTCATAGTATTTGTTGGGTTGATTCAGTCCAAGGGGAAGCGAACCACTTAGACCCTAAACCCTGGCGCCCCTTTCTTGTGTCTTGGATGGTTTTGCCCGCGGAAGCCGCTGGAATCTGTCGCACCAAAGAGAGGCTGGGACCACTGCTGTGTGGCACGCGCTGGCCGCGGCCGGGAACTTCTCCATGGGCCACGAGCACAGCTCTCGCGTTCGGTCCGATCTTCGAGCGACGTGGGGAAGGGTCCGAACAGCTCCGAAGATATGTCCGGCCTTGGGAGTTTGAATAGTTTGCCCTTGGCGCACTGGATGTTTTGGTTTTTTTTGCTGGTAGTTTGGGGCCAGTTTGAAGTGAGTTCTCTTTGGACCAGGGAGATGTTACGTGTGGCCAAGGCACCAAGGCACCCGTGGTGTCACAGGTAGTTTTGCCCATGATTTGACCATTGCTTGCTGGTGCGATAGGTAGGGAACGTGGGAATGAACCGCTTTGGGATGCCGGAATCAATTGAACACCAAATCGGACGGATGGTTTATCTTGGGTGCGCCGTATCTGCCAAGCTCATCACCTTCACTTTGTCTGGTAATAACCATACTTTGATGTTACCTGCTTGAACAAATAAAAGCAACACGGTCATCTTGAGGGCCGTTCCATGTCTATTTCCCTGCCTATCGACCTTTTTGGGGTTTTTAGCGGAGCCCACGAGGCCTGGACTGTGAGGCGCTCTCGCAGGCCCAGGCGCGAATGGGGAAATCGAAGGGCCTCACTTTTGCACTCCCGCAGGACATCCACACGTCCTTTTCAGGGGTGCCTTACTTGAGTTGTTGTTGGGTCCTTTTCAGGGTCCCTGGTTTCAGGAATTGTTGTTTTACTAGTATTACAAAAGGTTGTTTTAACAGAAGATGTGTTGTGCAGACGTTTGCTCGGCTGAAGATCTGCGATTTTTGGTGCTGTCCAGGCCGAACGATACCGAAGGTCGGCTTTGCTCGGCTTTGTGTCATCCGGATCCTCTTCAGTTTGGGCGGTTTCCTGTCAGTCTTGCTTTCTCACCACGGAAGCTAAGCTCTTGGCTGCTTGACGAAACTAAGTCCCTCTTTGGGGATGCCCTTGAAGGCAGCATAACATCTGACATCTTTGTCCCAAAAGGGGCTGCTACCTGCAGGCGTGTCTTTTTGGCGAGGGTATACTACCCTTTCCGGGGTTGCTTTTCATGGAACCCAAGGAAACAAAACCGTTTTGTGAGGGTATCCCGATTTTGGGTTGGGGTCAAGGGAATCCAACGCGAAAATTATCCCCCCATTTGGGGGGGGGATCCCCTACTTTGACACTTAGCCAATGGAAGACTTGGAGACACGTGGCGGGGACTGGCAGCCTTGGCTCCAGCCAGCATTGCGCGGAGCTCCGAAGGAGCATCTCGCAGCAGAGTGAGATGGCCACTCGGAAGGCAATTCAGCCCCAGCAATTCCTCAGTTCAGCGGCACCCTGTTTCCCCTTTTTGTTTTTTCTTTTTCGGGTGGCTGCCCCACTGAACATGGCCTTCCCCAAAAAGGGGTTCCTTTTTTTGCCAGGGAAACTGAACAACTGAGATTCTGGATTGTCATGTTGGTTTCCCTTCTAAAGCCAACCACAAGGGGGTTCCCCAAAAAAAGACACCAGGTTCCCCAAAAAAAGACACCAACTCAAAGGACTTGGAGAATTCAAAAGGAGAAGCTTCTTGCTCCTGTTCAGGCTCACCGTTTGCTGGCTGGGAAACACTGAAACACTCAAGGGAACCAAACCTTTGAGCGACTATCAACATACTTGTTGGCTAATGAAGTCAGCGCATTTGTTAGCATCTTATATCAGATGTTTCCAAGAAAGGGACATATAAGGACCCCGGATTTTCATCAACCCAGAATCTGGGCGGTTCAGAGTTGCACTCCGACCATGGACCCACCCTCCATGAGGGGACAAGTCTGTGGCTTGCAACTTACCCACAAAACCCCGTGAGAAGGCTTCGCGGTGGACTAGTCAGCGAGTGGTTCAGCTGGGCTCAGGGGTCAAGTCGCTTCGACTTGCCCCGCTCGTGTCCTGGTTTCCAGTGCTTGGTGGCTTGCAGCCATCCGGGTCCTTAGCTTTCTAGCCTTTCAGTGTTTCGTGGTTTCCAGTTCACCCACTGAAAGTTAAACTGTTCGCGGGGGATCTGGGGACAGCCCAGAGTGGGCTGCTTTGAGCCCTGGAAGTTTGGGCTCACTTCCCTAGGCCAAAGGCCAGAGCCTTTTCCACAGGCCAAGCACAGCACCGCGAGAGAAGCGGCGCAAGCCAACCCCGGTGAGAGCAACATGAGACGAAGGAGAACTCTCAACATCTCCATGGCTCTACCCCACAGCACACCCCAAGCCGATTGGACAAAACGGCACTGTTGGGGGGGGGAGATACAGTGACGAAATCGCGACCTCGCACATGTTTCTTGGTTTGCGACCACAAGCGTTGGTTCCGGTCCTGGAACCTCTTTCTTATTGCAGCGTGAACTATGATGCTTCAGCCAGATGTTTGCCCTGGTGTCTTTGTTTGGGTGGATCAACCGCCTTGTTGCTTGCCAAAGTTGATTGAGTTCCCTCTGAAAGCTGAAGCAGCCATCCGGTCGCAGGAATCAGAGTCGGTAGGACGTCAGAGTCACCAACTCCGCCCGGCATCTGAGGTGCTGGCTCTCCTCTACCTGCAGCTGGCGGCAGGTGCGCAGGCGCACAGCCAGCTTCCTTCCGGCTCGTTCTTTTTGTTTTGTTTTGTTTTCCCCTTGAAACAAGTGCCCATACGGAGGCCACACAAATGTGGGACTCCTTCAAGGAGTTGTTTTTTGTTTGTTTTAATGTTGGTTCTTGAGATTCAGGTTTGACTCTCGAGGGGTCGACCGAATCTCTGAGGTTCCCTTTCCAGCTATGCGGCAACTCTGTGAATTGACTAAAGCTGGAAGCGGGGGTCATTCCTCAACCTTGAGACCTGCCATGTGACTTTGTATAGGTTAAGTCTTGAAGAGTTTGCGGGATTCACACCCTTTATGCCCGTTTGACTCAAGAAGGACCACTAGGTTCAACTCCGCTCCAATCCTCATGTGGGAGTGTCCCCACAACTGAACCTCCAAAGAAGTCTGTCGTTTGTCAATCTTCAGGGCTCCAATTCCCGTTGACGGCAACACCCATGTATTGTCTCGTTGAAAGCAGTCAGGGGGCTGGGAATCAAGCGCTTTGATCCATTTAACTGTAGCAACCATTTTCCATGTCCAGGTCCTTTGAGTTTGCCTCTCTTCCGGCCGGAGTCGACCGAGTTCCAGCCCTACGTCCCCTTTTTTGATTTCACTTTTTGGATCCAAGACAAGGCTTGCCTCGAGTGGTTGGCGACCTGGGTCTGACTCAACCGGAAGGCCCCAAAAAAAACCGTGGAAAGGCCAGACGATTTGGTTCTCCTTTACTTCCCAACAGATTAACATTCCCCAATTTGTGGGGGGACCTTTTGGAGGTCCCCCCCGTTTGGGTTCCATGTTAACTTGTGGAGTACTCCACCCAAAAGGGCATCAACAAAGTCAGCATGGAGTGCACACCCTGGGCTGTGGCAGGTTTCGACATCCACGGCCACGACGACCCCAGGCTCCGCACGGAAAACCGCCATGGCTTGGTGCAGACCCCTTTTGGACGGGTTTGCTGTTGAAATTGGAGCCTGTGCAGTTCCATGTTTGGTGGGGAAAAGTCGTTGACGGTTGAAACGGTGAGAGAATCAACTAGATGGACAAGGGGGCTTCCCTTCCAGTGGTGACTCCGGCTCTGCTCGCAGCGCGATTGATTCCGCGACCAAGCAACAGATTTCGAGAAATCTTGGACCCTTGTCGCAACAAGGGTATGTTTGCATGTCGACCTCTTTCAACATGTCGAAGAAAAGTATTGCACAATTCCGAAGTAACAGTTGCTTCTGTTCTCTTGGCTTGGAACCAAGTACGCTATGACATACGCCCAGCCGTATGTGCATGGATGTTGGAAAGGCCTGGCAGGTACCTGGAAAGGAATGCTTTAGGTTCCGCTTTCCAGCAACCCTGAGCTGCGAGAGCCCAGCTTCACTTTCTAAGCGGAGAAAGAACCAATTGCATCCTTGACGTGGCCAAACAAGTTTCGGAAGCCCCTGTCCTCCAGCGCGCCAGCCCTTTCAATCCTGCGATAGGTCCGATTGCAGACTACCTGGCTCCTACTCAGACGGGCTCAAATTGCCACTCGAATGAATATGTGCGATGTGGCTGAGGATCCGCACCCCAACATGTTTGATGCTTCTTCTATGGTTGTCAAGAACCCGGTTAATGGGGTCTCAGAATGGACCCTATTCAGCCTTAGGCTTTGCGCGGTACCAGAAACGAATGTTTCCACCTTAATGTGGTGGGGCCCTGTCGGGGGGGGATGGGACCTTCAAGAGCCTCGTTCTGATGTATTCAACCACATGGGAGTGGACCTGATTCGGGACGCTTTAGGAGACATCATGCTAATACTGATGTTTGTCCACCAACCATTTTACAGGGTAGACAATTGGCCAAAGAAACATGAAACAGAGCCATCGCATGGTTGACAAAAGCAATAGAATCACATGTTGGCTGTTCAGGACCATGGATTTTAATGCCTGGACCCCAAGTAATCCGCCATCACATGTAGCGTTCCAAGCAACACATATTGACACTCATAGCCAGCCGCACAGCGCCATCCGGTACGCCCAGCCAGCGGCCACCTTGTAAACTAGGTCCCCAGCAATTGGTGCCCTTTTCCCGTTTCTTTTTTGGGGGAAGGCTCCCCTACTAAAATAGACTACAGAAAAAAGGGATTCTAACCTCTCTGCTGGACATAGTAAAACAAGCATGGACCCTTTCTCCCCCCCCTTCCCCCCCTGAAAGGCGGCACAAAGCGTCATAGAAAACAGGTGCCAACACCTAGTTCTGACACCCCCCCCCCCGGCTCTGGGAAGCAAAGTTGGCACGTCGCAAACGGGTTGGTTTGCGACCGACTTTGAAGATTCCTTTCATGCAGTACCCTTCTTTTCGACTGGTGAATTGTTGCAATTCACCCAGATGGGTTCTGTTGTTCAGGGAAGCAGAGTGGGTACCTTTGTGATACATTGTGATACTACAAAGCTCTATTCTTAGTTTGCCACTTCTTTGAGAGTGCGGTTGCAAATGCAACACAGTTTGCAAACATATCATCATTAAAGCCTTGGCGAAGGGGCTGAACAAACATATTGCTATTGTGGAAAATAATGTTTTTCTTGTTTTCTTGTTTTTCCTTAGCTGTTTGCTTCCGGTTGGTTTACCTTTGCCAAAGAACTCTGATGACCTCAGGCTACCAGGGCGACTCGATTTGTGACTACTCGATCGAGTGCGAGATGGATGGGTATGAGATGGATTGTGAATCTTTGAGCTGCGAAGATGAGCGAAGCTGCAGTGCCACTGGGCCCGAATGGGACAGCAAGTCGGGACATGCTCCAATGGCGGGGCACATCTTGAAGCAACCAACCTTCCCTCGTTCCAAGCAAGTCACTCCAGGCGGTTGGCAAGTTGTTTACGACACACACACACACACACACACACGCACACACGCACGCACAGCTAGATTTGACCACCGTCTTGGGAGGTTGCCAATAACAGAGGTCCTTTTTTGGGACCCTCAACATTTTGACAATCCTTGTGCATCAAATCAACTCTTTACACAAAGAAGCTGCCCTTCTTCTAGAATGCATTTGAGGGAGGAAGTACCCAATGCACTAAGCGTTGTGTTGTATTATAGTAAAGCATGTTCCAAGCACAAGAACCAGCTTATGACTGGAGCAACAAACCTGAGCTGTTAGACCTTATCCAGTGGGAGGCAAAAACGCTTTCAGCTACTTCCATGGCTTTGTGCTGGATCACGGAATCACGGTCAAACGTCTGCCATTTGCAGGGGATGGTGATTGCCCACAAATGCACACCATCCAAACTTGTCTAGAAGCCCACCTTCTGATCACATCAGCACAACCCTTAACGCCTTCCGGTTGGGTTTCTCAGGTTAATGATTTGTGGGGGATTGTTGCGCCTCTAGGCCTTTCTTTCATAGACAACGGCACCAGGCACGTCGTCCCTTCGAAAAATCCCCTATAACAAGCCTAAACGGCTTAGCCCTTTTCCTGTAATCCCAAGCTGAATACAGAACTCCCATTGCGAGGAGCTTGGAGATCACTACGTGGCCAAAAAATGGAATGGCACATGCGAGCACTGGCCGGACTATTCAACTGACCGCTACAATTGCTGCAGGCAGGTGATAATGTTTTGATGGCTGAAAGGACATTAACATGGGATGATTTGGACTTGTTTCCAGATGGCTATGACATTTTGTTGGGGAACCCCTCAAAAATGTGTGGCAGATACACAGCCTCATTTGGATGATGTTCACGACAGGGTCCCCGATACCAATTCACGCCCAAAGCGGAGGTGCCCCAGCAAGAATATGTTGTTTCCCCTTGCTCTCCGTTTCAAAACCACCCCAAAAGGGCATCCTCCGAAAAGTCGTGGGGTTGGGTCAAAGACGAGGATTTTTTTGGTCCTGCTGGAAAACAGCGAATAGCACTGACCCAATCATTTCACGCGCGTGTTGTGTTTTCACATATTTCCGTCCTGGAGGTTTGAGGCCATTAGAGGGCATGGACCACGCAGAGCGCCCATATTTCTTAGTGTGAACAAATGGAGATAACATATGAGCAGCGTTCTAAATGCCCTGCAATTGAAAGTAGTATTTGAGAGGAAATATGGAAATGTTGTTTTTTCCTAGGTAGCGAAAGGCCGCGTAAGGATTCGCGGAAGGGTTTTACCACTTTCCAGTCGCGAAAGGCTCGCGTAGCCCCTTGGATGCCTTCTACGAAGTTGGTGCGTTTCCATTACCGTAGCAAGGGCCCAGACACATCGTTTGGGCGGATTGTAGGCGCTTTTGTCGTCCACTGGTTGAAAAGCTCAGCTTTTGTGGTTTCGCTGTGTTCGCATAAGCAAAAATACGCGAAAACTAGCTTTCACTAAAAACTCTATCCGCGTAAGCGCCGCGTAAGCTACCCTCACAGCCTCGGAAGCCCCGCGTAGGCCTTCGCGAAAGAATTTTGTTAGTGTCGTTGGCACGCACAATGATTTAGAACAACGCTCATATGTATACTTGTGCACATGTCTTAGTATTATAGGTAGTATTGTTATTATTATAAGTATCATCACTATGTTTATTTGGAGTATTTATGATGTTAGTCTATATGTCAGTATGCGTGTGTGAATGCATGTGCATTTACACAAACACAAGCACATCAAGTGAAATTCATACATGAATGAACGCGTTTATACGAAAACAACAAGCGCCAACAAACAAATGGGTTGAACCGTTCCATGCCACGTGTTTGCTGTTGGTGCTAACATAGCATTTGTTTATGTCTTCGAGCGTATTTGCCCATTGGACATTCTCTAGACATGTTATATCCGAAGCTATGACTTTCCCGCGACGGCGACGTGGCAAGCCAGAGGAAAACATGCACATGTTTCTATGTGCGCGTACGCGCAAGTATGACTTTGTCATGCAAAATGGGCTATATGCTACTGTCAATGGACATTCATAGCCAACCTGGTAGAGCCACACCATCCACCTGACCGACCCTGAGCGGACCCGGACGCGATCAGGGCAAGATGTTTGACAGGTCAGTTTCAACCAAAAACCCGCATCGACCGTTTTAGACGACAAGTAGTCCCTGATTGTCTTCCTGAGGCTTGAACTAGTCTTGGAAGACTCGACCAGTCTTCCAATGGTGATTTACAATTTTCATTGTTGGGTTTCCGCACATGTTCTAGACTAAAATCCAATCTCTTTCCCAACGGCAGCCAGTGGTTCTGACTAGTTTAGAACATCAACTCTCAAGCCTGTTCATCGCGCTTGCTGAAAGCCACCTACGTTCATGGCAGAACATAGCGAACATGTTTTATACATATATATATACACGCATGTAATTATATCCATGCCCTTTTGACCCCAGGCAAGTGCAAGGCTCGGGCACGCGTATTTGATCGAGCCAATCCACAAGAGCCAGGTGCAAGCGCTCGGTGCCCTCGTATGCGGCTTGGGAGATGCTTGGCACCCCGGGCAATGGTGCATGCCGTGGCAGGCGCGCCTGGGGAGGGCTTGCGGGCGCAGGGTCAGTGCTCACCTGGATGCTTTCGGCCCGTTCAATAACATGCAAAAGGTCAAGGAATTTGATGCAGAGCATGAAATCCCAGGTTGCAATCGGGCCCTTCCGGCTTTGCTTGGAGGGACCCACCTGTTGCAATAGCAGAGTGGCGGACGTTTCAAAAATATATTACAACTCTTGCTTCGAGCCGGATTCCTTTTCCCGTCTCTTTCCATTTCTGTCTCTCTCTCCGCCCCACGAAAGTCACCACGCAAACATACGCTGAATGTTTGAAGGTCCACGCTCCGAATGTGCGCAGAGTGTTTACCATTTGCAATGGCTGGCTTCGCAGCGCGCACGGCCGTGCATTCGTTCCGGGACCGCTTCCATCAGCATGCGGAAGAGCTGAATTCACGCGCAGGGCCACGTTTTCCGCTGGCTTCTACTCCCCAGTTATGTTTCTACCTTGCTTGGTTGTTTGATGCAAAGAAAGAGACTCATGACCCAAGTAGCTTCAGTACTTCGAGATTCTTTTTGAACTCGCTGTATTTCCCAGTCTCTAATCAGCATCTTGCTTCCTTGTTTTTCGGAGGAGGTCCCAACAACCAACAAAGGGTTTCATTTCCCCCTCCCCCGCCCCCAGCCACTAAGCAAGCGGCTGGGCCAGCATTTCTTCAGGGTGTTGTTCTCCCGAGTCCTTCGTGTCGTGTGACAGGACAGCTGAGGACAACTTGGACGACTACTACACGGTGCACCATGGCGTTGTCGAGATCGAGGCCGGGCTTTGCATGGCGTTCTTTGTCGCGTTCTTCCGCGGTGAATAGACGCGTTGGGCACGCATTAGACCAACACACCTCAGGTTCGCGCTCCTTTCTCACTGGCAAGCCCCCACAGATACAAAGGCTTGCATGGGCAGAGCAATCGTCGTGGGCCTGAAACTTCGCACTTCTTTCCTGTGTTGACTGCGTTCTGTCCGTGTTTACCGGAACACGCGCGCACACGCACGCGCCGGCGCACACGCACGCAGACACACAGACGCACACACACAGACATAGACACGCGGACGCAGCCACACAGACACAGACACAGAGACACACAGACGCATACGCACACAAAGACACACACACAGAGCGCGGTGTGCGTGGTGGTGTGGTGAGTGTGTAGTGAGTTGTGTTTGTCTGTGTTTGCTTCTGTGTCTCTGTGTGTGTGTGTGTCTGTGTGTTTCTGCGTGTTTCTGAGCGTGTGCGTGTGGTGTGTGTGTGTGTGTGTCTGTGTGTTTCTGCGTGTTTCTGCGTGTGTGTGCGCGTGGTGTGTGTGTGTGTGTGTGTCTGTGTGTTTCTTTGTCTGTGTGTCTGTGCCTGTGTGTCTGTGCCACCACAGGCACCACGCACACCACACACACCACACACACACCATACACGCACACACACACACACACCACACACACACACCACACACCACACAGCACACGCACACAGACACACACACACCATACACGCACACACACACACACCACACACACACCACACACCACACAGCACACGCACACAGACACACACACACACACACCACACACACACACACCCACACGCACACGCACACGCACACGCACAGGCACACGCACACGCACACGCACACGCACACGCGCACGCGCACGCGCACGCACGCGCGCAGAGGCGCACACGTGGGCGCGCACACGCACACGCGCACACCCGCACACACGCACACACGCACACACGCACACACGCACACACACGCGCACACACGCACACATGCACACAGCACGCACGCACGCACGCACACACGCACACACGCACACACGCACACACGTTGACACGTTGACACGCACACACGCACACACGCGCACATGCACACGCACACGCACATACACAAACACACCACGCACACGCACACACACACACACGCGCACACAGACACACACACAGACACACACACACACACACACACACTCACACACACACACACACACACCCACCCACGCACGCACGCACGCACGCACGCACGCACGCACGCACGCACGCGCGCACGCGCGCACGCGCACGCGCAAGCGCACGCGCACGCGCACGCGCGCGCTCGCACGCACTCCCGCATGCCTGCCCTTCCTCACGCACGCACGCGCGCGCGCACACGCACGCGCGCACAAACGCCCGCGCATGCACGCGCGCGCACACGCACACGCAAGCGCACACGCAAGCGCACACGCACACACACACACAAGCACGCGCTCACATACACGCACACGCACACACGCACAAACACATGCAGACAAAGACACACACACAGACGCACACGCACCTGCACACACACACACGGACACACACTCACCACACACACACACACCACACAGAGCACAAACAGCACAAACAGCACACAAAACACTCAGCACACAAACACACGCAAACTATGCGCAACACACAACGACATGCACGTCGCACACGCACACACACACACACGCACACACACACAGACCAAGCACACACACACACACACACGCACACTGGCAAGGCACACGTGCACACCATACTCTCACACACACACAAATCACACCACGCACGCACAGGAACTGACGCACGCCACACACACACACACGCACGCACCACTCACACATACACACACCTCGCACGCACCAACACACACTTCCACCACAAACACTCGTTGCTCCGCATGTTGTATCTAGTCAAACAAACGGGATTGAGGTATGAAAAAGGCATTTTGCCAGCATCAAATTGATGAGGAAGGTGCATGTTACCCGCACTTTACCGTTTACAAACTTGTTGCGCAAATTTTTGAATTTTCCTCCTTGACTCGCAGGACACATGTCAATCAGCACGCCCACCTCAACCCGAGGCTGAAAAACGTGGCCAGGAGCGAGGTCGAAACTAAAGTGTACCCATATGTATATATATATATATATGTGTGTATGGTACTAACCCCAATATATGTATGTATATATATATATAGATACACATGTACATATCAATGAATGTATATTTGAACTGCCCAAGCTTAAATTTCAGTTTTTCCTCCACACAAGTATTTTCTGCAGCAACATCTGCAAAATGTACATGTTGGTCATTTTGTTTAAGCAGAACAGCCTTGGTATTGGAGGGGGGTCCTACCATGGATAGATAGATAGATGGATAAATGGATAGATAGATAGATAGATAGATAGAGCTGTAGGTATATGTGTGTGTGGCATGCGAATGTCCATGTGCTGTTTTTGCGTATAAGATGTATGAACATGTATACACGCACATGTTTAGTGCTACAACAATCTATATACACGTATACATCTTACCTTAAGTGTATACACAAATAGATATGTCATGGTCTTAACACAGGTAAGCCTTGGATTGTTAAGTCGGCCATATTCGCTCTGCCCCGCCAGGACTGCAAAGCCCTGTGCTTGCAGCATTTCCCCAGCTGCAAAGGCAGGAAGCGTGGGATGGGTGGAGCATAATTGGTTTGGAACAGCCAGAGGGACCCGGAACCAGAGGGAATCAGATGCAGAGGTGCTACTGGTTTTGGCTGGCTCTAGTGTTGTAGTGCCATCAATGCTTCCAAAAGGACAGCTAGGCCTTAACATGGCAACACATGCTCCACAGAGAACCGTGCGGTGCTAGTCCACTTCTTAGTGAGGGCCCCAAAAAGCCTAGCCTGTTATTTGCAGGAATCCCTTTGGGGAAGTGAGAAGAAATAAACTTAAGCGAGCAACCACGTTGAAATAGGGTGCAGCGGCCTGCGACGGCCTCATTATTATTGTGCGTAGGATTGAATGGAAGCCAAAAGGACGCCTAATGACGATCAGCTCTCCTGTACACTTAAGTAGCGCAAACTGAACGGGACAAACTATGTGTGCTGGCGACGTGTTGCAGTATTTTGTTGTTGTGCTATGTGTGTTTTGTTGTGGTGTGGTTTATACTTGTTTTGCAGAATCACAACCCTCGGGTCACAGATCAGTTTGGTTTGGAAAACGAACCGTTGGAACAAACCACGACGGATGTGCAACCATTGACATTGGACATGAGAGCGGACATGAGTTGAACATACGTGCTATCATGGAGAAGAACAATCTTTTCAGAACCCACCCATCCCCTCCCGATTTCTTTTCACTGCACGCTCCAAGCCTTGGTTCGGGGTGGGACCGGTACGTCCGCACCTTCGCTGAGCATGAGCTTTTTGCATCTTTGTTCACCTTTTTGATGTATCGAGCAGCTCGAAGCGGACCCAGCATCGGCAACAGACGCTTTGCCACGCTGCTGATGGCATGTGTGTTCGGTCGTGCGTACGTTTGCTTCTTTGTTTCCCTCTTTGTCTGGAGTCTGCATGTCTGCCTGTTTGCATGTCTGCCTGTCTGCTGTCTGCGTGTCTGCCTCCCTGCCTGCCTTCCTGCCTGCCTGAGTGTCTGCCTTTTTGTCTGCATGTCTGCCTGTTTGCCTTCTTGTCTGCCCGTGGGTCGGCTGTCTCCTTTTGATGCGGCCTCAATGCTTGATCAATCCACAGCGGTTGTCGAGCAAATGGTTCATGGGATACGTTCGTTCCAAGATGTCCCCTGTTGGCTTCAAGCAATACCGTGTTAGGCAACTTCAAAGTGAGTTGCCTTTCGATAAGGTGATACACAAAGGGGAAGTATATGGAACACCTTCAAACCCTCCACGGATCATCCGCAGCCGGTGAATGCCCTGCGAGCCGTCAGAACAACACCATGAAGTCAAGCATTTTTTTGTGGTGATACGTCGGGCTGATGGTAGGTAAGATAGGAAATGCCAGTTTGCTCCAACTCTAACTTGCAGGCCAGCAGTGTGATATGATGTGTTGCTTCGAGTTGCCATTCAACGTACAAACGCCCCCAAAAGGAATCTCGATGTGAATTTGGGTTCCAGGCATCATTCTGCATAAGAGTAATCACTAAGAGACATCAACCATTTGCCGCTTTGCCCGGTTAAAACAGGCGACGCGTCAAGACTCCCAAGTGCTTTCCAGTTGTTCAGTGGATTCCCGGCCTTTGCCTTCTCCTTAAAACCGCTCAAGCTGGATGCCGCAGCGAAATGATTCCCTCTGAGTGAGGCTTAGGCAGGACAATTTCTTGGAAAGGAAGGGGTGTGTGAGGTGCTTTAGGCGCTGCGAATATCGAAGGGCTCAACCGCATAGTCCTCATTGTACATGAGGCAACGGTCCATGCTTACCATGATGTATTTTTGTAATCATGATGAAATTGGCTACACTCCCCAAATTATCATAAGAACATGGGGCTTTCTCGCGTCAACCGGGGGCCACAATGAATGCATTGATTGTTGCTCCCATCCAATATTCTATATATAAGACAACACATGATTTAGAGTAACATATCCTGCATACATATTGCCTCCGGCAAGGGCAGCTGAAGTACCTTATGAGTCTCTACACACTATCTTCAGGTTTCATGGGCCCCGTGGTTGATTGGGTAGTCACGTCCCTTCGAACAAGGCATCGAATACAGCCTCGGCCACTGCGAGATTTGGACTAGACCCGACACTTGGAAGCAATAGTTCTGATTTGGATGTGCTCAAACGTGGAGCTACGGCAACCTGATTGTGACGCTTGGTGACTAGGTCCGGAGCCATGGCTCGGATCAGGTGGTGAAGGTTGAGGGGCAAACCCCAAGCTGCAGGTGGAGGTGAGAGACATTACCAGACTTAGTGGCCACTCATCGTTCTTGGGGGTGAATCCTTTCGGTGTACATCATTTACATCAGGGTTTATGTCCTTGTTGAGATTCATAGCCATAGTATGGAATCCTGGGTTTTTCGTTGTGATTTTGGTGAACCTTTTTGCCCCAGTTGCACAGTCCCGCCCGTTGGCCCATACAGGATTGGCCAGGTCTTTTTTGTCCGCTGTATTTTCGCAGCCAACATGTTGGGTCAACGGGGGGTTGCCACACTTGCACAGTTAGGAACGCGTGCAAATCGTACGTATTTGAGCATTTATTTTTGGGGGTAACACCTGCTTTGCGCTTCGACTTGCACCCTTGCGGGGCGGGGCTGGGGGGGGGGGGGTTGGTCGCATCATCGGCTGGCATCGCACTACAGTGATCAACCCCACTGCCATCGCGCAAGTTTGCGGCACTTGCAAAAGACATAGTTGTCCACGCGTGCAAAACACAAGTATTTTGCCAGCATTTGTGCAGCAAGCTTGCCCTGCGTTGCCTCAATATGTACGACAGCAGGATGCGGGGTGTGGGGGAAGCCAGATGGGGATTTTGCGAGCTGGCCACGCGTGCGCATCATGGGTTGGCAGCACCAAACCAGCTTGATCCTTCATACAAAGCGCGACAACCCTTTCCCCTGTTCACCTATCAGATTGCCCACACCAGGTGAGAGCCTTGCCACGCCCAGCGAGAGGTTACATGAAGCGGGTTGATTGTTACCACCCTTGAGTGTTTGAATTGAGCAAGTCGTCCTCGCTCCCAAAATTGGTATCCCAGATTTCGGGGCCCATGGATTCTACCCATGTCGCTGACATCCAGGCGTTGAGGTGGCACCTGCCGACTTGATTCCTCGTGCAACTCAGCCCAGCGGCACCGTTTCCGAATTTCGGGAGGATGTCCTTTGAACAAGCCAAAGCACAGAACAAGGTGCCCCTTTTTCCCCACGACTAATGAGTAAGATCATTGCGCCGGGCATGGCGTGCATATATGAAGTTACCTCTGTTGTCACACAGCGAGCTGACTGGAGCGACTCCTGTTGAACACCCACTACTCAAATGCTCCCACACCGGGCTGGGCATATTTTTGGCTTCGGTTCCCACAACTGTTTGCCTTCTCTTCGCCTAACTTGAGCACCTTCCGGGAGGTTCTCAAGCATGTGGCTGTGGGTCAACGCCAATGGCACCATTTTGGGGTGGGGATTGGGATGTTCACTGGGGGCTAACTGGGATTTGACCCATGGCCATGTGTCGCCGAAGGAGGGGATCTGCCAACACGTGGAGCTGCCCGTGGCAGGGTTCAGCTGCCTGCGCTTCGGATGGGCGCCGCTGGTGCCGGCGCCGCGGACGCGGCCAGAGAAGCGGAGAGATGGGGAGTTCTTGCTCCTCCAAGTTCCGGGAAGTGCCCCCCCACCCCCAAGTCCGGACTTCCGGCCACGCAAGTGAGGCCTCGGAAGTGAGGACACTTTGGAGTCGGTCTCTCGAAATGGGACGCCTGCAAAATGCTTGGAACCATCCAAGCTGGTTACAGATTGGTCAAAGACCCTCCAGAAACGCCTACCGTTCCCTTGGGTTTCGAGGTAGACACGTGCCCTTCATGCTTGGCTGCGAGCCTCTCAATGTGGGAAACACATCTGTGAACAGAAAGCATGGGCTGCTGGAATGAGCAGTATTTTTATGCATGCTCAGAACGAATCAGGAGCCCTTGCCTAGGAATGGTCCCTTTGCAACGGGCGCTATGGGCACACTTGCTACTACTCGCAAGGCCACGATTAGGGCGGCCCGATGCCGATCCATGTTTTCCTTAGGTAGACGGCGGAGAGGGGCGTGCTTGCCGGGGCGACCATTCCACGGACAACGATGACTCCTACTACGTGGTGGTGGATGCCGAGCTCGAGGCGAGGTGAACCCAAAGATTTCCCAGCGGCAAGTCTCAGATGACGTAGTCGGTGTCCAAACAATATCAAAGATTGGGGCGCCTTTGGTGGCATGGTTTGACGGGAAGACCACGATCCCACTTTGTTCCAGAAAATTTCACGGATTCCAAAAAGCATCCGTTGGGAAGAATGTGTTGCATCCAAAATCCGCTTTGCAATCCCAATGGGAAGAATGTGTTGCATCCATTTGATGTCCAGGATTGCAAAGCCAGATGTGTGGCGGCTCCCCTGTGCCTGGGCATCGAGTGGAGCCACCTGGCATGGGTTTCATCCTTGAAACGTGCACCACCCGTTCTGCATAATTTATATCGAGCTGAACTCGCTCCCAAGGTTTTTGGCTCGATTTGATTGTTTGAAGAGAGGGAAAGGACAATCGGCCGGAGATTGTTTCAACTTTCGGTTCTCTGAAGGGCCTGCCCAAGCCTGCAGTTGATTCCTCAAGTGTAAGCAGAACAAGGGAAACCGTGTCAGTTGTACTGGTTGTTGGCGCGCACTTGCACTATTTAGGCAAAGTGTTGCTTAGGAAAGAGGAAAAGCCATCGCCAGCATTCCGGACGTATTGCTTCTGACTTTTTCAGTCGCATCAGCAATGTGCAGGTTGTGCTTCGCCGTGCCTGGCACGTGCTTGCGCACTCTGCTTGCAATCCTAAGGCGTAAGCTTGTTGTTTCTTACAGCCGTCCTCTGATTCTTGAGTTCAGGAGTGTCCAAGGATCTAACTCCATGCTTTGTATTTCAGTCATCCTAAGCCCGAAAGGGCACCCTGAGCATGGCGCTAGCTGCTAGCACACATTCGTCAAAGCGTTTAATTCCACTGTCAGACTTGATACGCATACTGTACTTCTTCGAGCCCGTGCAGGACACTCTAAACCCAGTCATGTGCGTAGGATGGCGTTTGTGCTTCGCTGGCCCTTGCCTTAAGCCTGTTTTTGAGATGTGGCAAGGAGCCAAAAGGCACCTTTCCTTTGTGCCGGACTTAAACACTTAACTAGCCTTTTCGCCCTTCCGTGTTTTCTTTCTCGTTAGATACATGTGTTTGTCTCAAAGCAGGGGAACCAAGAAATGGGTGTTTTCGTTTCCGTGCTGATTTGCCTTTTAGACAGCCATATATTATTCTCGGATTGCTTACCCCTGGTCAAGAAGGCCCAACTTTCGCGGGCTTCCGTGCACTTGCGGATGTGCAGACCTCTCCGGTTTGCTGCAACCTCTCGGCCCTGTCTAGCCAGAAGGTACATGGTGTTTTTGTGAATTGCCGGGAGGGCTGGCCTTGAAGGGGGGTCCCCTTTGAGACAGCAAAGAGACAGACATCAAAGCACCAGTAGAAAGAAAGCCGACCAACTTCAATGGAACAGAAACGCCACTCCCCTCGCACCCTTCGTCAAGTCGAGTCGAACGAGTGCGGCGAGGTCCCAAGCGCTGCGAACTTTGGCAGCGGCCCATCCATGGCACTGCGGACAGGCCCGGCTTCACCTGCCCGGAGCCCAGGAAGCCGATGCATCGGAACGCGTCGATTTTTTTTTGGGGGGGCCGATTTGGGGTGAGAAACATGAAGCCACGGGAGGTATACGGTTTAAATGTCCCATCAAAGCCAATGAAAGTAGCAATCTTTGGGGGTTTTCTTTAGTTTGAGATAAGACCAAAGGGTGCCCAACAACAAGACATGGCCAACCCGTTGGTTTTATCACGCAGTTTAATATTGTTTAATATTCAAGTGCAGTCACCGTTCGTGTAAGCAAGCCGCGATGCAGGCATTGTGTTTGTCTTGAAGTGTTGATATGGTTGCACTCCGCTACGATACTCTATATCAGAAAAAATGCTGATTAGTATTGTACACCTTCTTTCAGACAGCACATGTAATGGATACACACGTTTGCGGTTTCTGAGCAGACAAAGAAGGCAACATCTGCATACATATATAATCATATATATATATATGGAGGAAAAGGCAACACAGCAGAAGGCTGCCATATTGGCCAGTCCGGGAATTTGGAGCCCTCGACTTTTGATATATTTGTTGTTTTTGATCAACGCGGCTGACGCGTGAGTTACGTCGCTTTGGCGGTGAATGTTTTTTGTTGTTTTTTTGCCAAACATATATCGACGGACCGCGTACAGCGCTTGGCGGCGAAACATGGGAACATATCCACCCCAATGCCCAAACTAAACTGTTGCTGGGTGAAGGCAACTGAGGTTGATAAGTATGGGTCATTGAGCCATAAATCCACCAATAGCAACCATGAGTTGTTCATATTCTCTAGACAACCTTTGATTGGCACCGGACAATCGGACAATTTGCCGCACATGGCAGGGCGGCCACCAAGTGTGCCTCTCTACAAGGTCCCTGACTTTTTGGAGGGTATCATTTCTTGGCTGGGGAAAATCAACAGATCGCCATGTGATAGTGCCCTAGTTGGCGACACACCGTGTCCTAAGGCAATTTATTTGTCGTTCAGGCCTCTTCCCAGGGTTTTTTTTCGCGGTTTTTCTTGCAAGTCGCTGGAACACCCGAGTGAAGTTTGCCCTTCACACACGTCAGATTCAATGCCTTGGTAGTTTAAGGTTGCAGTAGGGGGACAGTCCGAATCATGGGTACGGGCGCTTGGATTTGGTTTCGGGTGGACTTCTTGAATGCTTGTTGATAGTGACTTAAATGAAAATAGCCCCACCGTTAAAAACAACTCCGCTGATTCCCTTGCTAGCATAGATTAAGATTGGTCAGCGCTTCATTTTGATCAGCCCTGCGTTTGTAAAGCTTGTGACCGCTGTGGATAGCCCGTGGCCCATGGACCAATGTTCATGAATACATGTTTCGCGGTATGTTGTCTCATAGCACTAGTTTGTCCATCAATGAGACCTTGTACTCTTAACCTTTGGAAAGTAGATATCTCCCCTCAAGTCAGCAAAGGGGTCAGTTGGACCAACCTAGCTACATTCTCCCAGAAGCCTCCTATGAAAGAGGCTCCCAGCCAATAAAGTGCGACGCGAACACAGGGTTTTGATAGAGGCAACTGGTGGGCGGGCAAACTGCGGTTCGGAAGCACGGATAGTCAGGTCCCTGTTATCCACTAGCCACAGGCTGGGACGGACATCCAAGCACATTGGGAGGACTGGCTTAGACGACGAATCAACAAACCCAAAGCTCCTGCCCAATGGAACTGACCGAGGTTTGGCCTTTGAGCCGTCCGGACTACCGCTCTTCACTCGGAAGCTTCTGTTGCTCTGAATTTAGAGATCTCCCAAATGGGAGGGCATGCGTGTCTAGGGGCATTCAGATGCCGAGTTTTGTGTTTTTTCCAAGGAGCCCAGAAACGTCACGGGTTGTTCTGAAGCCTTTGGACCCCTTGCCAGGCATAGAACCAGCCCCCCCAACTTCCAGCACGAAGGCACCTTCAGGAACTCTAGGAAACGAGGGCTGCCTTCCCGTTTTTTGGCGCATGTGCAAGCATAGCCGCGTCGCAAAGAATTTGACTTGCGACCTTTATGATGAATCCGTGATTAAGGTTCCTTCCTTGAAAGTCTATTTCAGATTGGTGAATGATTATTTGGCAATTCGCCCAGATCACTTTTAGCCCCCCAAGTATTGAAGGTGCCCACGTGAACTCATGGTAAAGAAAGAAAAGGGTGGACAGGTAAAACTCCGAGTTTGCGCACGGAATTTTGCAGATGTTGGGCTCCTTGTTAATTTGTGTACAGTGCAAGAGGGCCCAGATGTGGAGTGGGGTGCTGCTGTGTCAGATCCATCACCAAAAACCGCCAAAAGAAACCGGTTTGGTTGTTTCTTTGGCTCCCAGGCAGCCCTTTTTGCCATTTTCCCACGAGCCGAAGTTTGTTTTTTCCATGGCGTCCAAAGGCTGCGGGATCCACTCCGCGTCGCTTGGCAAGAGTCGGCAAGTTGCACCTTGCGCTCGCCTTCCGCTTGCCGGGGGGCTCTCTATTACAGATGCACTCAAATTGCGAGATGCGACGCACAGGCCGGTTCCAAGTCGTCGAATTTCTTTGGGACCTCTTGGAACAGGCCACAAGAGCGTGCAGAGGCGGCCAGAGGCTGCCGAGAAATGCGCTGGCTTTCTGGCTTGGTGAGTTTTTTTTTTGTTTTTTTTTTTTTTTTTCTGGAGCAAGGAATGATTGGCAGTCGGCCTCTGGCCTCCAAGCGGTTCCCCCTCTGAAAGCTCCAACATGAGGCATACTGGGCATGTTGCGGCAGATTCAGCATGAATCCCCACTCGACATACCCTGCCACCAATCAACATAGAACCGGACAGGGGGGGGGTCATGAAAGACTATCTTCCTTTTAAAGGGAGCCCTTGTCAGGTTCCATGTTAATTGGTGGGAGGGTACACGTCATGGTTATTGGCCTTGCATGTTCCCGGATGTCATTCTTTTATGTGAAGGTCAGGTCATGTTGAAATCGACAGTTTGGAAGGTTTGTTTGCTATGCCACTCAGGTCAGGAAGCGAGGTGACGCATCACCCCATTGGGAGAATGGGGACGGGGGACATAGCTATTACATAGCCACTGCCACATGGGTAACATCATACTTGTCTAGGGTACTTTGAGGGATAGTGAAAACCCTATTTGATGTTACACCTATATGTTCCACCTGAGCCGTTTGGCGTGAGCAAGTTCCATCCTGAAAATCCCTTGCCAGGTTTACTTGTGTAGTCCATGGCAGCCTTTTCTGGACAAAGCCTAGAAAGTGAACCCTTCCGGGTCCGCTGTTGTGAGTTCACTGAGTGTATTGCATCGGCTACCTCTCCCTTTTGCTCAGCTGCATCCCACTGACCAAGTTCCAGTGCCAAACATAATTCACCAAGAAGATGTGCCCATTTCCGCATAGCAACTGACTGCAAGAGAGAGAGGGAGAGCCCCCCAAAAAGTCCATGTCCCAAGAATCCAAGCGCATTTGCTAGCCTGATGCGCGCGATCCGCGATTTCGGCTCACATTTTGCCAGTGGAGGCTATATACATGATCGAAGAGGGAGAAGAAAAACGTGATGTGAGTCAAACATCCCATGGAGGCTCAATGTTCACAAAGGCTCATTGCTGAAGAGCTTGCTGAACTGTTTGGAGGGGAGACACACCATAGCACATTTAGCCCTCGGCCAACGAGTTCAAAGCATTTTTGGGGCCAGCCAACTCAGCAGGAGGGGAGCCTTCGCCATATGCTTGCACATGGACAAAAGCCCTTGGCAAATGCAAACATGCGTTGCTGCGCAAGAGGTTTGATGTTTTTGTGGCAGAGCAGCAGTTGTCTTTTGTTTTCCAACGAGCCCGCCTGGATCACGCGTTTTGAGCAGACCGCGCAGGCTCAAGGTGGCCATGGCAGATTGTGATGCCACAGGATGCGTTAGGATAACGTGAGGCTGAGAGACCCGACTCCATGCGGCCATGCCACCCAAGCGTTCCAGCAACCTTGGCTGCAACTCTTGCCAAGGGATCTCAGTTGCAAGCCGACCGCTTCTCCTTTCAGTTTCCTTTAGGTCCAGCTGTAGTCAAGCTCTCAGCAATTCACAATATTTGTATTTCGAGGTTCTTTGGGGAGCTGAGGGATACAAACT